CATTCATAACAGCAAGCACACCTATTGCAATTCTGGATGTAATGTCAACCCGTCCTGCTAAATAGAGATTATGGAAATGAGAGCCAGCTCAGCATAAATAGTGTACATGTATTTCTACCTGCACTTATTTCCACATTCTTTTCTACAAGACATTGATTGGGGCTTCATATTTCATTCAGTGCCAAAACGGAATTTTCCAAAATAAATTGTAGAGGAGAGAGAAAGAAAATGTCTGGTACTATTACATACATATATATATATATAAAACCATTAATTAAATGATTGAATTAATGATTTCTGGAGTAATTTTAAGCCTGGAATGATGTTTCTTCCCTTTCACCTTCACTTGTTTCCCTTGGAATAGCTCATTTCTATTTATCTTTAAAGTCTCATTTAATACACAATTTTCACAAAAATCTTTCCTTTACTATCTTCAAACAACTGACTCTTTGAATCAATGAGTGGTGACTAAAGAAAGAAAGGTCACTCGAGCTTCAGCGGCATCTTGCATGTTAGTGAATGCTAAGCATTGACGTTCAGTCCAGCGCTGCTGTTAAAATGCTCCGTAAGATCCATGCAGCTGGGTTTTGAGCACGCTGGCTACTGCTCCTTCTTGGGTCTACCTGCTACCTGCGTTCCAATTTTTCCAACCCAGTCACTCACTGAAGACCTGGTGAGTCCCCACCATGAGCTGAGGGCTGGCTTCATGGTGAGTAAGACAGGCCCTGCACCTCGCCTGTCTTCACAGGGTAGCTGTGAAAGGGGCATTCACCCAGGTCTGCTGAGAGCAGAGCCCAGGCAGGTGGCAGGCTGGGCAGGTTGTCTCTACGAAAGAAGTAGGAAAAGAAAATAACATGGGGCTGCCCCCCAAAAGGGCTAAGGATAAGGGAGAAGGGGGAATATTCACAAAACTCAGGGGAAAGCAGTCTTGAGAAAGGATAAAATACAGGCACCAGAAGATGAATTTAGAAAACTGTGTGGCCTTCCAAGTAAGAAACAAAAAACCATGGCTTCTAAGAAGCAGAAACAGAGCCTTAAGGAGCAAAACAGCTTCAACAGAAGCCAACGGAATGAGATGACACAGGCTAGGAAGGAAAAGCTACAACAGAGAAATAAAATCTGCATTGGAGGCAGTAAAACCCAAAAGTGACATTGAGGCAAATTGACAGAGTGGTGTGGAAAAGAGATTTCACAAGCCATTTAATATATGCAGAAAGATCTAAGAGATAAAACAACACAAGGGGTAGAAGGCAGGAAACCAGGTAATCTGATTTGGAAGTACAGATAACCCCTGAGGTAGGAAGAGAAAAATCAAAACCGTTACCATAACACAATCATAACTTGTTGAGTTGGAACGGGCTCTTCCCGCATTCCAAGCAAGACCAGGAAAGAGAGATTCCCACTTAAACACATCACAGAGACACTCCTGAACTACCAGGATTGAAAAAATCAAGTGTCCAGGCAGGAAAATCTCAAGCTACCCAGCATGGAAGGTACCAAAATCCAGCTGCCCACGGATTTCTCCTCTGCAACCTTGAGTTCCAAACAGAACAGAAGCACTGGAGTTATACAGAGAAATGTTACAATCCCAAACACTCAGTCTGGCCAGGTTGCCTTGTTTGTTTCTAATGTGTGAACTCCTGCCTCTAAACCAACTGTACCCTGTCATGTGGGACAAAGAGCAGTTGCTCAGAAAGTATAACAAGAATAGAATTGGTCTCGAGGTGCTGCCTTCAGCCCGTCACCACCCAATCCCACTCCTGCAGGGCTTCGCCCCTTCCCTGCAGCTCAGGGGGAAAATGAAACTTGAAACTGAAAATGATGGCCTAGTTGGCCCCCTCCTATAGCTGCCACGAGAGATGAGCTGAGTACAGGGCTGGGTCACTGTACTGAGAGAGACTTTTTAAAATGTGTCTCTGTTCTTTTCCACAAAACCACAGCCACCCTGAACAACCCAGTGGCCTTTTACAATTTTTCAATGCTAAGGAGTCTAAACAATTATGTTACACAATTTTAAAAACAATAACAAAAGTCACTGGGTTTCTTTCAATGGGAGAGACAAAATGCATCAACTGGTGAAAGAATTCTTTGCAATCAAGCAGCCTTTATGTGTCATGTCTAATATAGGATTGACAAATGCTTTTGTTAAATCTGCTTAATCAGTATGGGAAAATGAACTTACCAGAAGAACAGGATGAGAAAAGATTATGAAAATACAACAAAATATGAACAGTGACTAGTGTTTGAAGTTTTCATTTTCACACACACACACACACACACACCATATTTTACAATGAGCACAAATTATACGATCAGAAAAGAAATGTATTTTTTCTTGCAGAAAAGAAGGAAGCTGGAGTGTAGGTAAGGGTCACACAGCAATGCTGTCCTCTGCTCCACGCTGGCCTTGAGCCTGTGATAGCACCCTTGGTACCTGCTCCTAAAGACAAATGGTCTTGTTGTTTGAGAAGGGGTTGGACCCCTGGAAAACTGCTTCCCTGGGAACTGAGTTGTGTGCACGCGCGCGTGCATGTGTGTGCGTGCGTGTGTATGTGCGTGCGTGCATGTGAGATAGTTGCATCTGTTTCTTATTTTTCTCTGAGTGGCTGGGCTTCCCAAGGAGAGAGAGACTTCGGGAGAGAAGCAGCTGGGAGCGCCTCAGCCCCCGCTGCCTGCCCAGGAAGCACGTCGTTATTAACCAGGAATTCTTTATAGCTGGGCTGGAGGAAGTTTTTGGCTGTAAACTGTCATGCACTGCAGCCTTCAATGAAAAGGCTGAGGGAGTGGACTCGGTCCTGAGAACCGAGGAAAAAAAATCAGAAAATCAGCCACAGAAAGGGGAGGAAAAATAATGGGAAATGAAGGACAGGAGACACCACACAAGTTACGGCCAATCGGTCACTTCCAGCCTCTGCTCCCCCAACTCCTGTGGTTGTTTCTGGATCCTGCCCTTGAACACTCCAGACATTCTTCCTGGATGCAGAACTTGCATTGCGCACGTTAGAAATGCAACGTTCTTTTCTGGGGGGTTTCGATGTTACTTGGCCTTGTCCTCTCTGGTTCAGAGCAACAGTTTTAGAGCGATCTGTTAATGGTTCCTTAGCTCTTCTGGACCACGGGGAAACCGACGAAGCAATCAGAGCGCGAGGGGACAGCACCCGCCTTAGGGGCTTTTGAGACCCCCCAACTGCTCCTGCTTCCACGTCCCCCTCACGCTCCCCTTTTATTCTAAGTGCGGAGCTCGGGAGGTCTCAGGCCACAGGGATGTCCTTTTAGATATTGTAATACTGTCAGCAAGGAATGTGGCACACGCACAGCCTCTCTCCAAATGCCACGGCCCGAAGAGCCGGGTGGAAGGCGTCTCTGGAGGGTCCGGTGTCAGAAGCCACGGAGGGCCTTTTGGTGTCTCTTTCCAGAAGGAAACTCCCCGCTCCGGTCAGCCCCCTGGGAATTTCCATGCGTCCTGGACAACAAAAGAAACTGAGAAACAAGGTGTCGCATCTTCCTGACTCAGTTTCAAGCCGGAGAGGGGAGGAAAGGAGCCCCGGGAGCGTTCTCGTCCCACTCGGCGGGGCGGCCGCACCCTCCCCCGGAGCTGGCTCCTGGGAATCGCTCTCCGGGAAGGCGGAGGCGGGCGGGGCCCCCGCGTCCCGGGCGGGGATCCCTGCGGCGACGTCCTCAGCAATTCCCGGTCCCAGAGCGAGCCCGGCCCGGCGCCGGGCAGGGAACGGCTAGTGCGGGGCGCAGATCCCGGGTCCGGCCCGGAGCGGCCTCTTGCTTGGGCGCGGGGCTGTTCAGAACCATGTGTCCCACCTGATGCATCTGCTTTTTGCAAAGGCGTGGGGTGCGTGCGCCCAAAGACGGGGAAACTGAGGCTGGAACCACAGGCCCTCGCTAAAGCGAGGGGCAAGGTGTTGAGAGAACAGCCGGCCACTGACGTGGGGCTTCTGCTTCCTCTCCCCGTCCCGGGCTCCCGTTTTAGGAGGGATGCTGCTGTTTAAGGAGACCCATTGAACTATTTCCTGCTCGTTGTCACCTTCCCTTCGCTCTCCCCGCGGAGGTTCTCACCGAAAGGTAATAAACCAGCCGCTGCCAACGCCGCTTGGCGCTGCGGCCAGGCGGGGAAAAGCGCCCCGAGCCCGGCTCTCCGGGGAACCTGCCGGCCCCGTCCCACTCGCACCTTCCCCCCAAACAGTAACAGGACAGCGGACGCCAAGCGCGCTCTGGGGCCACGCTCAGTTCCCCTCGTCGTCAAAGTCCTGCTTGTCTATGGGGGGCGAGGCAGGGGCTCGTTTTGTTTATTTGCGTCTGTTGTCCTCTCCGCGCGCGGGACTTCCCTTTCCAGACAGGCGAGGGCCGCGGGGAACACCTGACGCCGGGGCGGGCTGACCCACGATCGTGGGTGTTCGTGGTGCCATCTGGGGCGCCGCGGGGCAGGGGACGTGTCGGGACAGGTGTACTGGAAACTGGCCGACGGGGGAGGAGGAGCGAGACAGCAGGACGGCGGCGAGGTAGACCCGGTTCCCTGAGGCCGGGCCGTGCGCGCTTCGCAGCCGGGGGATGGAGGCGCCTCCGGCCCGANGGTGGCCTCGGGGGTGCGCCGTCGGACGCTCTCCCTCCCGGAGCAGGACCTTTGGTCGTGTCCGCTCTGGTTGTTCGTGGCCCCTGGTGTGTCCCTCACCATGTTCATTCTTCTGGGGCTTTCTCCGCGGAAGCTCGGGGAGGAGGGACTCGAACCCCAGGGCCGGACCTCGGAGGCGTCTCCACGGCCCACGCCTGTCGCCGCCGCGGTGAACCTCCGCCCCTGCCTCCCGAGGCCGTGGGGTCGCGCGGGGGCCGCCTGAGCCCAGGACCCAGAAAGGCTCGGGGCGGGGGGAGCTCAGCTGGGGGTCACCTGTGGGAGGTCCAGGGCGCGCTCTTCCTTGCCCCAAGTGCCAGATGCCTCCGGCCCGACGGGTCACATCCGCGGTTCTCCTGCCGCCACCTGTCTTTTCCAGGAGGATGTTCCCGGTGCTGAAGGTGAACGTGTCTGGCCTGGACCCCAACGCCATGTATTCGTTCCTGCTGGACTTCGTGGCCGCCGACAGCCACCGCTGGAAGTACGTGAACGGGGAGTGGGTCCCCGGCGGCAAGCCCGAGCCGCAGGCGCCCAGCTGCGTCTACATCCACCCGGACTCGCCCAACTTCGGGGCGCACTGGATGAAGGCGCCGGTGTCCTTCAGCAAAGTCAAGCTCACCAACAAGCTCAACGGAGGGGGACAGGTAGGTGTGACGGAGCCCGCCGACGGCTGGGACCGGCGAGGAGGGCGTCCGTGGGCACCTTCTCATGCACGGGGGCGTCTTGGAAGGGAGGTGACGTCTGCCACAGGCGTCCCCAGTTAAGCCTTTAGTAGTGTTTATATTGCATCGATAACGGTAGCACCAACGCCTGCAGAACCGGGAGTGGGAGCGTTCACCTGTGAAGACCTGAGAGGGAGCCCTGGGGAATTTTCGTGTTTTAGCCTAAACTGTCCTAGAGGTAAAGGGATATCAGCCTCGACGGTAAACAGGGACGTTAAAGCTGAGCGTGCGCCACATTATTTACTGCGTGGAGTCTGAACAAACTTGTAAATCCGTCTTTTTCTAAAGAACTTTCTTAGTCGGGGATTGTTCCTGGAAGACGTCTGTCCCGGCAAGTTGCAAACAGGCCCAGAGGCCCAGGCTTTTGAAAATGTCTGTAGCCTTCCTGGAGGCCTTAGGACTTTATCTACCAGGTCAAAGCATTGTGCCATGGGCACAGTTGCCTTTCATGGTGTGTAGCGTCTCACAGTCCTTTTTCAAACAAGCTGTGGGAAGGAGCACGTGGAAAACGCTGAGAAGCGTCAGCGGTGGGGAAACCCACTTTCTTCACCAGTAAAAACACTTTGTTGGGAGCTGGAGGATTTTCTGCGTCTCTGGTGTATTTTTCTCCTCTCCAGCAGGACAAATGGATGTTTGGGTGTCTTATCCAGGACTTTGCTTACCACCACTCCTGTCTGTCTCCCTCAGATCATGCTGAACTCCTTACATAAGTATGAGCCTCGAATTCACATAGTGAGAGTTGGGGGTCCACAGCGCATGATCACCAGTCATTGCTTCCCGGAGACCCAGTTCATAGCTGTGACGGCTTACCAGAACGAGGAGGTGAGAGGGACACGGAGAGAGCAGTCCCCTGTGCTGTTTCTTGAGAATGGGGTGTGATTGTGTACTTGAGACTAATGTTTAGTGCCCTTTCATATAATTTGCCATAACTGAAGTGAAGGCTAAGGGGACAAAAGTTTAAAATAAGTCCTCATTCAAGCATTTTCTCCTTTAATTCTCCGTAAAAGTGTCTCAAATTTGAAACATCTACAAAATGCTCAAAACGAAGATGCATAAAGCATTTAGGTTAAGTACTGTGCACATTTCTGGAGAATAAGACTTGAGGGAGAGAGAGGATCTTCTTAGTATGGAAATCTTCTGAAAGAGTGGGGTGCAGCCCCCAGCCTATGCAGTGTGAAGACTCTGGTTAGATGCCTGTAAATCTATGTCTAAGTCTAACCCCAAAGTATAGAATATCTGTGATTAGTTGGTTAAGTTGTCAGTGTTGACCATAAAGTAGAACTAGGAGATCACTATTTCCTAAGAACCAGGTTGTTTTGAACCATTTTTGATTTATATACATGGAAGGAATATTGTCAGTAGTTGGTTAAATTGATTGTGAATCCCACTCAGAAAATTGGCATATAAAACTTTTTATAAATATGTTTATCCTTCACAAAATATTGCAATTACTCAGCCACTTCAGAGCCAAACAGTAAAATATATCTGGAAAGAAGTCGTATTATATTGGAATATTTAAAGGTAGTACTAGTGTTTCTCAATTTCTTGGTGCCAAGTTAAATCCTCTGGCAATATGCTAGTAAATGCAATTTCTTGTTTTTCAGATCACAGCTCTTAAAATTAAATACAATCCATTTGCAAAAGCTTTCCTTGATGCAAAGGAAAGGTGAGAGAATTCTAACTATACCCCTTGGGTAAAGAAGTATGCAGAAAGATGAAATACTGATGCAAACACTTCTGAATTTTCTTCTTTTTGACAATTCCATACTTTATTTTTTTTTTTGACAGAAGTGACCACAAAGACTCGATGGAGGAACCAGGAGACAGCCAGCAACCTGGGTACTCCCAATGTACGGTTTGTAGCATTCTGTGTGGTCGATGAGCTTTGCTTTGGGACTAGACTTGCTGAGAGCTGGCAGGAGGAAAGGAGTGGACAGTGAGGTTCCTTCGGGTATGGCTGGGAGCAGGAGTGTCCTTGCACTGTGCAAGGGACATGGCACTCTGATGGTGAAACTGCATGACCGTCTCCACCTTCTGCTCTAATTGGGGTTGTGGATCCCAGGCCTGAAAGGAAACTCCCCTGGGTTCTTTTGTTTTGCTCTGAGGCGGCTGCAGCCGGGCCTGGGATGGATAATTGAGACCTGGGGGGTGGTTAGGCTCCTGGATTGAGCAGAGGAGTTTCCCTCACTATATCCCCTTTGAGATGGTTTCTACTTGTGTTAATGGTTGAAAACTGAAGGACCAGCTTTAGGGTGATGCTTATGAACAAATTTTTCCCTCAGTCCACATTGGTTCCAGGGTTGGCTCATCAGCCCCTGTAGGTTTTGGTGGACTGGGTGGCTGGTAAGATGGGGAGAGTCTGCTTCAAGTCTAGCTTCCTTCAGGAGTTCCATGGGTCAGAGCCAGCGATGCAGGGATGTAGGTCTGTAAAGAGCGCGTATAGAACGCGTATCAGGAAACAATGCCCGCAGGGAAGGGACTTGGGGCTAGTAAACATCTGACACTGTCGAGATAGAAAAGTTAATGTTTGCAAGAGGCTTAATATATTTTAAAATCATCTGCTGGGCTAACTTAACAAACAGCTCTATTAAAGTGGCCTGAGGGACAGTTACCTCAGGTACAATGTGAGTCACCGCTCTGGCAAGTGGGGGGCCCATGTGTCGTGGGTGCAACTGTACCCTTCCCTCATTTAAATGTCTGAAGGATTATTTGTAGTTTGGAAATTGGAGCTGGGGCAGTTGTCCCCCTAAGGTTTGCTTTTTCTGAATTAAAAAAAAAATTAAAAAATAGGGAAAAACTTGAAACTTTTGATTTTCTGATGCATAAGCGGGGAGGATGTGGGGAGTCTAAGACAGAAGAAGAAGAAGCAGAAAACTGCCTCCACCCTGGGCAAGGACATCCATCCCTTGAGTGTAACTGTGGGTGTTAGGAGCCAGGGATGGGGGAGACAGGGACACAAGCACTCGATTAATCCTGTGTGTCTTTGACCCCTGCCTCTCTTCCTTGGTCCGTTTTTACATTGTATTCATCGCAGCCTGTTTCTGCATTGTATTCATGCAAGCTGACCCACCCTGGGGAATAGTAAATCCCATAAGAGGTCCAGAGGATCCTCAGGGGTGAGGTTGGAGTTTCCCAGGTTTACTAAGTGCCCTAGAGGTTTGGAAACTGTGGCTAACCTGTGACATTAAGTGTGGAGCTGAATCCCTGTGACGCCGTGAGACCGAGACTGTGGACTAGATGTTGGACATTCAGCATTCTTTACTTCATCAGGGACTCCTGAGGAAGACATCCAGACCACTGGTCTCTGCTCTCCCTCCTTGAAATCATGGAGGTAATACCAGTGCCAGTTACTCCGCATTCTCTTCTCACAGCAGGGGGGTGGCTTGTTCCTGGAACCAGCACCCTCTGTCCACCTGCCAACCCCCATCCTCAGTTTGGCGGCCCCCTCTCCCTGCCCCCCACGCATGGCTGTGAAAGGTACCCGGCCCTGAGGAACCACCGGTCATCGCCCTATCCCAGCCCCTACACGCATCGGAACAATTCTCCAAGTAAGTTGGAAGTCTTAGTCTAAGGGGGTGGTGGGTGTCTGGAAGAATACTTCTAGAAAGGTGTTCTGCAGGGGTCCAGAAACCAGACAGAAGACCCTCTTCTGGAACCCACCCGCAAGCCCAGTTCTCTGGTGGCTCAGGATGAGACCTTCATTCACATCCACACCACTGCTGGCTTCACCAGAAATCAATCCAAACCCGAGGCTGTCCATGTTGATGGTTACTAGGCCCCTCCACAGAGACCTGAGTTGATCTCTAGTGGTAGAACTCAGGTTTGGATATTTTATGAACCTGTCTAAAGTGGTAACATTGGATCAGTTGAGCACAAGAACCCCTGACTGGACCAATGATTCTCCATGCATGGTGCACGGACCAGCAGCACCCACCTGTAGCACCCGAGGACTGGCAGAGTCCTTCCTAGACCAGATGCTCTCGGGCTGGGGCCCAGCGTCAGTGTTTAACCAGCCCCTTGAGAACACTGGGCTAGACCATAAAGGTCCCCTTGCCTAATGCTCTCTAACAACGGGATGCCTAGACTTAATTTTGTCTGGCTCCAAAAGGAGGAAAATAGCTAAAGGACACCATAAAACAATTAAGCAATTAAAGCTGATTTGAAATGAAAGGAGCTTCTGTGGCAAGGAAATAGTCTTTGGGACTTGTTCACCTAGAGGCTAGACTCTGGCTATAGGAACTTATTTTTAATTTTGCCTGGAGTAATGGTTTCTGTAGCCCATTCAACTCTCACAAAATATATAATTTTTTGAAAAGGTAGGTTAAAGTCACATTTGTTTCTAGTTTTAAAGATAAGTAATCTTCAACTAATTGATTGTAGGATTCAGTTTCTACAGGGCATGTACTCACCTTGATGTTAAAGGAAAAAGCCTGAGTGGACTGGGATATGTTATCAAATATATACATTTGGTAGTAAATGCAAGTATTAGCTCTTGATGACCAATTAAGCAGGCAAATGGATTACTTTCTCTATTTATTATCTCACACACATTTTGTTCTCAAGGTCAGGTAGTTCCAGTTATTGCTAGTATTTCGCTGCATTTTGTTGCTCTTGGAAGACCCCATCCAGTAACCACACTTTCTTGCATCCCAGCCTGTTCTGACAATTCATCTGCATGTTTGTCCGTGCTGCCATCCCATGACAGCTGGTCCAGCCTCGGAGTGCCTGCGCACCCCAGCATGGTCCCCATGAGTCCGAACGCCAGTCCCTCTGCTGGCTCCAGGTAACAGATGTCTGGGATGGGTGCCCTCCCTCCTGGGACCCTCCCTGTGACTTCATGCTATTTCCATTCATACTGAGCTTTATTTCTTATCTTACACTTTACTTGTGCATGGTTGGGCTGTGATTTTTAATTCTATTCTTAGCTAGGTATGTCCAAGGACCCCAGGCTACATGACTGCAGAGTTCCTGCTTTCAGTCTATCTTCTGGGAGGACTGACAACTCCCTTTAGAATTGTGGTGTGGACTGGGAACTGGGCTATACCATGCCGAAATGAAACTGGGGCCCCTCTGGCTCTGCCTCTGAGTGGTTCATATGAGGGTCAAGTCACCTAACCTCTCTGAGCCTTGATGAAACAGTAAATAACCCCAGCCTCAGCCTGTCCCTTACAGAGTTGTTGGAGTCAGTGGGTGTAGTTTGAAGAAATGCTCCCAGAACCTGTTTTGAGAGGAGCTACTGAACTAAGGAAATAAGTTTGTTGGCTTTTCTGTTGATATAAGATCAAAGTCCTTAACAGCAGTGACAACTATTTTGTTATTAACTTACCAGTTATATAGAGAGAGAACGGCTTAAAAAATCAAGCAGGTAGGTTAATGTATTACATTTTTTATAGGATTAATACAATGAAAAACTAAAATAGCAAAGCTAGAAGTCAGTCCTCATTTTCCAGTGAGGAAAGGGGCCCAAAGACATTATGTGATTGGACAAACTGTTCACAACACAGCAAGCCTGGAATCAAGTGCCCCTGGCCTCTAAAGCAATGCACTTGATTGTCTATAGAATATCAAAATATGGCTAAGATCATGATTCTTTTTGTCTAGAAGACAATTCCTTTATAATAAGAATCGAATTCTTTACAAATAAAGCAAACAATGCCCAAACAAGCAAACTTTTCAAGGGCTCCGAGATCACAGCTCAGGAAGCTGCAGGTCAGTCTGAGCACCTGCAGGTCACACACTGGTGACAGTGGGTCCCACCTGAGGATTTCAGTGTGGCTCTAATTGGGCATCTCAGAGCCGGAAACTTTCATTTATCAGCTGGGACAGTAAGCTGCCTTTGAGTAACTAAGACTTATTTACAAGGTCAAATGCAATTGAAATATGGGACACGGTGTGGTGTGCAAAACAGCTGTAGAACCTAAGATCTCGTTATTCATTCATAGGAGTCTTAAGAGTTTTTCCTAAAACAAAACTTCAGCATAGTTTAGTATTGTCCACTTATATGTGCTTAGACTAGAGGATTTAACACTCATTTCTAACTCCCTTGTTTTACACGTTGGGAAACGACCTCCTAAATAGTGTCAGACCAAGTCTAATGGGACACAGCCTGTTAAGGGCAAAACCTGGTCTGACTCCCTGGTTTGTCTTGCTGCATTCCGTGCTAACTCCCCTGTCTACCTGACAGGACAACAGCAGGGAAGGGGTCTACACTGGACTTATTCTGAGGAATGCCTTTTGCAGCTTTGGGGGGGTGGATTTGTCTTGGTCACTAGAATTACTGCAGTGAGGGTGGGGCATGCTAGTTAAAAACACAGATGTGTAAGCCCGTTCTCTGAAGCTTCTGATGCAGTGTATCTGCTACAATTTTGTATTCTGAGCGAGAATGCAAAATTACTCGCCTGGGGTCTTGTACCAGCGCTCTGCTGTGAGCTTTGCATGTGTGAGCGACCTTCCAAGACCACTCCCGAAAGCCTGTGTTCCTTGTGAACAGACATGATAACTTCTACACAGCTCAGAGTGTGGCTGATAGTTATTTCATGACATGAAGAAAATGCCATGTTTGAAAGAAACACACCGTCCACCGCAGTTCTGAGGACTGGGGTGTCCCTGTCGCCCCTCCCAGGGGCAGGGCCCGAGGTGGCCGGCGGGACTCACTTGTGCTTTTCCGTTGCAGTCAGTACCCCGGCCTGTGGCCGGTGGGTGGCGGCGCCGCGGGCGCGCAGGCGACAGGGGTGTCCGGCGGGCTGGGCGCCCAGTTCTTTCGAGGGGCCCCCGCACACTACGCACCGCTTCCCCACTCGGCCGCCTCCTCCACGGGATCCCCGCTGTATGACGGGGCTGCCACCGTCACCGACATCCCTGACAGCCAGTACGACGCCTCGGCCCAAGGCCGCCTCCTAGCCTCCTGGACACCCGTGTCACCCCCGTCCATGTGAATCCAGACCCCGGCTTTACAGGATGACCTTCTTGCAGTGACTCTCGTGGTGGCCACGTGTGTGGATTGGATCGGTCTACTAGTTACAAAAGGACAGTGTCAGGGGCTGAGGGCAGGAAATAAAACCTCACTAACTCCACTTTAAAACAGGAGAGGTGTGGCCCCTGCTCGTCACGGCCTGTTGCAGTGTGTCCCACGCCGTTTCTGTGCAAAGGTAAATCCAAGCTCGGAAACGATGCAATTGGCCCAGTTCCCCACAATTCACGGTCAAAAATTGTCGGGGTCCAGAAACTTTATCTGATTCTCATACAGCATATAGGTGACTTTGACAAACCCAACTTTGTAAATTACTGCCGAGGTACAAAGCACACTTTTAATTCCCTTTGTTGCTTTTGATTAGTTAGAGTTGAGCTGTTACAGCCAGAATAAAATCGTAGTTGGGGACAGGAGATTTTGGTTGAATTGGAAATTTGACTGCTCTGTCCACCAGAAGGTGTTTATTTTGAGCATATGTAGCTAAACTCTTGTATTAAACCTACAACTGTTTTATGTTTTTATTTTGACAAAGTAGCCAAAGACAATCAGCAGAAAGCATTTTCTGCAAAATAAAGGTGTTATGCAAAATTGGGTTCATCTAGTTGTTAATTCAAACCCCTCCTTTTTTTGGGGGGGTGAGTTGCCCGTTGTTGATTATAGCTACTGATAAAGACTTTATCCCAAGGAAGCACTTGAATCTGTCATGGACATTAGTATCGCATCTGCTCAGTTGTAGAGCTGCAAGTGGAATTTGCATATACTTAGTGGGAATTGCCACAAATATGCAAAGATATCAAATGATTTTCAAGAGGTTTAAATACTCCACATTGAATCAAATGAACATAAATAATGACAGAATATAGGTTATATTGAGGCCATAAAGATGAATATAGGATGTCCACCTAACTCAAGCGAAAGTACATAAAATGAGTTTATAAAGAGTTATAGCTTATCAATGGAAAATGTAGTTGCCATAGTCATTTGAACAACGCGGCGTTTGTAACTATAGTTGCTGCTGTTTATTCTCAAGAGGGCAACAGAGCTGCAGCTGTGCTGGATTGGGACAATTTCTCCATCTAGTGGCAGAATCTTTAATGTCCACCCTACTTCAAGCTTAGTACTACTCCAAACCTCTGCTTTCTAAAAGTTCCAGATGGCCAATAATTTTAACCTCAGTTGGTAACGGAGGAGTGTCAGAGTGGCACGAGGAATACAGGAAGCAATATGGGCATTAAAGGATTAGTGGGAAAAGGCTGAGAGGCTCTGAGACTCCCAAAGGCGTGGGAAAAGTCTGTTTTTTTTTTTTTTTTTTTCACATTAGCATTGCCAGCTCTACTGCTTAGTCCAGTTCTGGCTTCTTAGACTACAGCTAGCATTTCTAGGACATAAAGCAATTTTTTTTTTGGTCTTATTGAGCACAAACCCAGAATTTAAATGTAAAGAGCTGGATTTTTAGTGTAATTCATACTTGCTTCCCAGGTAGGATGTGCCTATTGTAAACTATCATTGACAAGTTTTTCTTGGTTTTTTTTATTTTTACACATCTAGAAATACCCCCAAATCAGGAGTTATTGACATAAATATTCTGGAAAAATAGTTTTTGAATAAATACACTGTTCGAATAGAAT